CATTTTACTCTTAACAACAACCATAAAAATCCTATTTCTCGTATCAAACATAAACTAAAAGAACTAGCCAAGGAATTTGTTTTTGTCCCGGCTGATAAAGCTGCTAATAATATCATTATAGTTTGACGTACATTTTACATTGAGGTTCTGCAAAAGGAAATCACCAATTCAACAACATTTCAACTGACTTCATTTTCAGAAAACGATATCTGTAACAAACATAAACTATTAGCTACTTCTTTACAAGCAGAACCAAATACAATGAAAGTCCCTACTATGTACTGGCTTCCGAAGCTACACAAATCACCTAACAAATATAGATTTATTTCGTCTTCAAGTCATTGTTCTACTACTAAATTTTCTATTCTACTTACTTGTACACTTGGTACAATCAAAAACCTGATAATAAATTGTTCAAATAAGGCCTTTGAAAATAGTGGAATTAATTACTTTTGGAGTGTCAAAAACTCGTTGGAAGTACTTGATAAATTGCATGCATATATTGGTGATTTTGAATCTGTTCAAAGTTTTGATTTTTCTACCCTATATACCACTTTGCCTCATATTCTTATTAAGAAAAAATTCACACACCTAATTAAATGGGCATTTAAAAAGACGGAATGCAAATACATTTGTTCAAACTCTTTTAGGTCATTTTATAGTAGCAACAAACAAAAGAACTATGTCAATTGGACATGCTTTGATACGATATCTGCCCTTGAATTTTTACTTGATAACATTTTTGTTCGCTTTGGAGATTCCGTATATCGTCAAGTTATCGGAATTCCAATGGGGACTAACTGTGCACCACTTATTGCGGACCTGTTTTGTATTGTTATGAGTTACAATTTATGACTAAAATCAGCAAAAACCCATCGAAACAACATCTGATACAAAAATTTAACAATACTTTTAGATATTTGGATGATATATTGGCTCTCAATAATGAAGACTTCAGTATGTATACTAAAGAAATTTATCCTGTTGAACTTACTTTAAATAAAGCTAATACTAACAATGACCACTGTCCTTTCCTCGATCTTGATATCTTTATCATTAACGGGAAGCTTAATACAAAAATTTATGATAAAAGAGATGATTTTTCATTTCCTATCGTTAATTATCCATTTTTAGATGGTGACGTTCCCTTGTCACCATCATATGGTGTTTATATATCTCAACTTGTACGATCCGCTCGTGTATGTAACAACGTATTAGATTTTAGCGAGAGAAATTTATGTATTACTGAAAAATCATTACATCAGGGTTTTCGATATCATAAACTAGTCAAAACATTTACTAAATTTTATCATCGGTATAAGGACATCATTCGTAAATATAACTGAACATGCAGACATCTTATACGTTCGGGTATTTCACATCCAATCTTTTATGGTAATATTCTTTACAAAGCACAATAGTTTCCTGTGTATAATTTGGAGTTTAGTATGACGTCCATTATCACTGAACTAGTATACATATTTGTTTAGGGGCCAGCTGAAGGACGCCTCCGGGTGCGGGAGTCTCTCGCTGCATTGAAGACCTATTGGTGGCCTTCGGCTGTTGTCTGCTCTGTGGTCGGGTTGTTGTCTCTTTGACACATTCCCCATTTCCATTCTTGATTTTATGCGTTAATTATCATATGTATTCATAATGTGATTGTGTACATCATTAAGTTGCATAATCATTTATATCCTTAGGGAGCTACTATTTGATTTTTATGGGGGGGGGGGGGCTAGGATGAAATTAGAAAAAAATAGGCAGGACAGGAGTTTTGAGTAAAAAAAAGGCAGGATGAGACACTTTGCAAAAAAAAAAAGGCAGGATGACAATTTATGTAAAAAAAAGTCAGGATAAACTGAAAAAAAAGGCAGGACCGAATAGAGAGAAAAATAAAAAGGCAGGACCGAATAGAGAGAAAAATAAAAAGGCAGGACCGAATAGAGTGACAAATAAAAAGGCAGGACCGAATAGAGAGAAAAATAACAAGAGGCTCTCAAGAGCCTGAATCGCTCACCTGTATTTCAGAGGAGAAGATTTTTAAATGTTAGCAAACTTGAACAAATTGTGTAAAATTGTCTTTAAAGGGCAATAACTCCTTAAGAGGTCAATTGACAATTTTGGTCAGATTAACTTTTTTGTAGATCTTACTTTGCTGAACATTACTGCAGCTTACAGTTTATATCTATCTATAATAATATTCAAGATAATAACAAAAAACTGCAAAATTTTGTTAAAACTACCAATTTGGTGGTAGAAACCCAACAATGGGTTGTTCGATTCGCCTGATAATTTCAGGGCCGATAGATCTTGACCAATTGAACAATTTTACCCTATGTCAGATTTGCTCTAAAAGCTTTAGTTTTTGAGATATAAGCCAAAACTGCATTTGACCCTTATGTTCTATTTTAGCCATGGCGGCCATGTTTGTCAATGGATCAAAACTTCGGATACATATTATAAACAAGATAACCTAAGGAACATTTAGTCATTTAGTTAAAGTTTGAAGGTAATTGGCCCAGTAGTTTCAGAGGAGAAGATTTTTAAATGTTAGCAAACTTGATGAACAAATTGTGTAAAATTGTCTTTAAAGGGCAATAACTCCTTAAGGGGTCAATTGACAATTATGGTCTTATTAACTATTTTGTAGATCTTACTTTGCTGAACATTATTGCTGTTTACAGTTTATATCTATCAATAATAATATTCAAGATAACAAAAAACTACAAAAATTTCCTTAAAACTACCAATTTTACCCCGATCAGATTTGCTCTAAAAGCTTTAGTTTTTAAGATATAAGCCAAAAACTTCATTTGACCCTTATGTTCTATTTTTAGCCATGGTGGCCATGTTTGTCGATGGATCAAAACTTCGGATACAATTTATAAACTAGATACCCTAAGGAACATTTAGTTAAAGTTGGAAGATATTTGGCCCAGTAGTTTCAGAGGAGAAGATTTTTGAAATAGTTTACGACGACAGACGACGACAGACGACGACAGACGACGGACGCCAAGTGATGGCATAAGCTCACATGGGGCCCTTCGGGCCCCCGGTGAGCTAAAAATGCAGGACAGAGATTACAACTAAAAAAATGCAGGACAAAATTTTTCATCCTAGCCCCCCCCCCCCCCCTTTCCCCATAAAAATCAAATGGCAGCTCCCTTATGAACACGCTTAATCCTAGACGAGCTTTATAGTTGTGGCGGGAAATAAATCATATTTTTTCTGAACTGTTACAGTGCATTTTACAATTTAAAAGTTTGACGAAGAAAATCGTCAACTAATATTACATACTAAATGATGTTTGATAATTAATACGACTTACACATATTAGACAATTGGAAAAGAAATATTTGTGTTGCCCTTCTTTTTTTTTTTCAGCAATGTTCTTGTTTTATCCATAACTGTGAGCGAAGTAACAAAAGGAAACCCCGTAACATACCCCTTCCGGGAAACTCGTGGAACCCGGATTATATTCCTTTATGCAAATTCCCGGTTAGTGTTTTACAACTGTAAAGTTTCATCAATGTCTATCCGGTCCGTTAGAGGGAATCGCATATACAAATCACACGCACAGACCAATTGATAAACAGACAGACGGACATATTGATTCCTATGGCTATATACCCCAGAAACTTTGCTATTTGGATGGCATAATCACTATTCCATATATATAGTTGATAAAATATATAAATTTTCTGAGTATATAATATTGTGCGTGTCGTGATCATCATTATTATAACAGTATAACAATTATAGATAATTTTTATCGTTATCAATATTATAAATAATAATTTTTTCCGTTTTTATTTTACTTTGCGTTCTTTTGTAATTCTTCTAGAATAATCTTTTTTTCAAAATTATTTAATTATTTATCTTCAATAAAAAGATTTTCGTTGTGTTATTAAAGCTTTCATTAATATTTCATTTAACATTTAAAATTCTGTGTCAGATATATATCTATCGAATTTAATTTGGATTTATCTAATATTTATAAACTTGAAAATTATTCTATATCCGCGAAATATTAACATCATTGTTTAGGACAGTTATTAACATTTGTATTGAAATTATTCAAATTCAATCGAAATTTTAGAGAAAAGGGTCAAAGATTAATCCATGTGTCAAGTTGTTGTGACATCAAACCACCTTATACACAAACATTATCCTGGTACGGGACGGACAGACAGACGGACGGACGAAATAACGGACAGACGGGCGCGCATACCGGAAAACGGAACGCCCCTCTACTTTCGTAGGCGGGAAAAAAAAGGTTTTCCTGAATATTGAAGTAAAACTGTAGTCTTTACCAGTGAACATCGTTCTGAATATTAATGAAATATTTCCCGCTGAACGTTACGTAGTCAAAAATTACTAGTCAGTGATTAAGTCGTTCACACTGTAACGTACTGTGGAAAAGTTTGAATGTACTTAGCGACAATCTAATATCTGTCCTATTCTACAGATAAAACAGAGATTGAAAGACCGTGAACCTAACGAAGACACATGAATGGTTGTATAATACTACGTTTTTTTTTGGTGCTAAATTGTTTTGTGAAAGATATGTGAGGGGCCTGATGGGGGGGGGGGGGGGGGTCTCATCACGATTCACGAGTTGATTTTTTTGTCAATCACGATTCACAGAAAATAAATTTCCATTATCACGGATCACGAAAATATAAAAAAAAAAATCTAGAAAAACGGATCACGATAGCGAAAATGCGCCAATCACGAAGAACGAAAATAACCCATCAGGCCCCTCATATGTAGTACTAATGTTTTACCCATTTATTTCTTATTTATCTATTTTTCACCTAAAGATTAATAAATAATGGCTAGAATTCTACTAAGAATTTCAGGCCTTCGTACACTATAACTAACATGAATCTTAACTTTGTGCAATTAAATTTAAAGATTATTAGCGTAATGTTGAAAACTGATATTAGTATTTGAAAAGTACACATTTTAAAAGACATATATAAAACAAATTTCATTACCTGCATACAAATGACGGATCCGGTGTGACCTTCAAAGACTTTCAGCTGTTCTCCCCTAGCTAAGTTCCAGCTGCGGACCGTTTTATCAGCACTACCAGTAAATAACACTCTGCCTAGATTGTCTGTTGCCATGCACATTATGGCGCCTTCTCTGTGGTCATGACCTTTGAATACCGTCAAACATTTGCCGGTCTCAAAATTCCATTTTCTTGCAGTTGCATCTGCCGAACCCGTTATCAAGAGGTCATTTGCTCCTTCCATGTCCAATGTACCATCAGCGTCATCGTCGTCTGCTGGGATGAAAATTAGCGGGCAAACGAACTTTTTGTGACCGCGAAAAACTCTTAAACATTCTCCGTTTTCGAAATCCCAGCATCGTGCCGTACAATCATATGAACTTGTAAAAATAAAATCTCCGGTGCATATCATACGGTAAATAATCGAAGTATGTCCTCGACAGATTAAAACACATTCGCACGTGCTAACATCCCACTTCCGGATTGTTTTATCTGCACTTCCGGTCAAAACATAACAATCCTCAATCAGAATGCAGTTGATGTATTCTTCATGTCCCCGTAGTATACCGATACACTCACAATTATGAGTTTTTGTGCTCCAGAGTCGAGCAGTTTTGTCCTCACTGCCAGTGGCTAAAACAGACCCGTCTTCGCTCAACGCCATACAGTTTATCCCTTTTTCGTGACCTGCCATAGTTTCAATTAAAATACTCTTATTTTTGCCAGCTGCGTTCTTAGAACCGCAGCCTCCCATTTTTCAGTCAAATCAAAGTTTCTTGTAAAATGATCTACCCTTTCTTTAAGTATTATAAAGAAATGTTTCCTTGGAAAATGTCGCAAATATCCGATTTCTTTTTTTCGAGACTTTAATTTTAGAATGACTGACTTCAGTTGTATGACAAAAGAATTATAATGTCATCAATACGGTATTTCTATGGTCGGTTTCATCTTTGCCATTTCTAGAAACATCCGGTGATAAAATGAGTAAAAAGTTCTGATATATCGTGGAATAAAGTTGTGTTACAATAAGACGTCAGATAGAAACTATGTGAAGCACACAACTCTGAAATATTCCATGTGTTAAGGATCAACAATTCAGCATCAATTATTAATTTTTATAGAATTGTTTCCAATCAGGATCGATCAATAGTGTTACCTTTGTTTCCTTGTCATCTGCAATTAATATTTACCTGTAATTAATGTCGAGACACTTATAAACTATTCAAGTTCTTCTGGATGAAGGTTAGACATTTTTCCCTATAGGAAAAAAAATGTCATTTAATGTTTTATTGACTATTTGTGTTATTATTCGTCCTATTATTTATTTAGACCATTATATGTTGTTAGATCGATCCCATTTTACCTGCACGAGCTTCTGTTTACCTCGCATGTCGCCATGGAGACACGAGAACAATGAAAACTTTGAACGGGACGCTGAAGTTCTAACAATGAAGAGATCAATCTAAGCAGGGTGAATGCCATTCTTTTTGTTTAATTGTGGATTATGTCCAATATTCAATGATATTTATCTACTAAAGCAATTATAGGTGAAATTGATTTTCTCCTACTCGTGCCATACATAAGCTTTTATTTTGTTTGTCTTGGTATCTGAAAACATCATCGTGATATAGACATAAAATTATAGTAGCTGACTTTGCATAATCTTATTACAAAAACAAGGGAGATAATGTGATAAAAATATAATCGTATTAAGAAAAAAATAATTCCAATCTTTATATCACTTATATCATTATATTTGACATCAAATTACCGAACATGCGTGATGTATTATGAATACTAAAGCAAAATGAAAGAAATACATCATAAGCTCTACTTAAACAGTTTTACCTGATTTTAAGTGAGGAGAAATTGCCTTTATATTTCAAATTAGAAAACATGAGTGTGAAATCTTTAAACAGTAGAATTTATTCCTATTTCGTAGAATATTTATATGCAATTTTTTTTTACAATGATTACTCATCTAGATAATATTTTGACCGAAATAATGTAAGCGTAACCAATGATTTTTCAAATTATACAAATCCTTCGCGTAACGTTAATGAAATAACAAAAAAATATTCACTATAGGTATATTCTAATAATTACATTACATGTATGTTTAACGAGAATCCGTTAACTTTAGTTTGATTGGCTAACAACAATCGCGCGCGCGTCTTTCAAAAATTAACCTTCATATTAAAATGACATGTTACATTCGTAATGACACGTGCTTCCACGAAAAAGTGTACACGGGTATATAAAAAAAAACTTGATAAAACTTTTTTTCATGGTCTTAGCATACAAATGTAATTATAAGAAATAAATGTTTCTTTTAGTAATTTGATAGGATTGTAAAAGTGTTGATCGTGCACACATTATTAGAATGAAGCGTTTCCGCGCTTTATACAAAATGTGCATCATACAATTCTCTTTGAAGTCGGTCACGTTTCCATTCCTTTTAAATATACAATTCCTTGATTGTATGTATACCCGACATTAAATAAATCTTTATTTATTATTTTTCATTTTTGACAGGTATATGTGTAGAATTTGGCGGGGTTTGTTTGTTTTCTATACGTTAGACTACACGTATACACACAAAGTTTTCTGTTGGACAGTTGCAATGATCACATATAGCAGCAATGGACAAATGATTGAAGACGTAAAAGGTCCTAGACATTCTTCAAATTTTATTGTGTTATCATGATAAAAGAGAGGTGAAAGATACCGAAGGGACATTCAAACTCGAAAAAGTCTAAAAAAAAACTGACAAGGCCATGGCAAAAAAGAAAAAGACCAACAGACAAACAACAGTACATAAAACACAACATTGAAAACTAAAGACTGAGCAACTCGAACCCCACCAAAAACTGGGGGTGATCTCAGGTACTCCGGAAGGGTAAGCAGATCCTGCTCCATATGTGGCACCCTTCGTGTTGCTCATGTTAGTATGACCGGACAATTTGGACATAGCAATGAAATTAGTTTTTAAACAACATTTTATGAATTCAATTGTTTTAATGTATATTCTTGTTTTGCATTTATTTTATTATTCTGAACTTTGTCGTAAATTTAGGCATAAGTGTTTTACACGGATTATGTGTCATAATCTTGGACAAAGGACTTAAATTCATTTACTCTAATCATTTAATTAGTTATTCTCTTTATCAGTTCAGACAATAATTTACTTATACGTGTCGGACATTAATTACTCTTCTAATCTATTGTTATTTCTATTTGGCATATGTTAATCTTCTTAATCCTTTAATTGTTTGTGCTTATATATATTGTTATTGTTTGTAGGTTACATTACATTTGGTTTGGAGTTTGTTGTTCGGTCTTGCCGGACTGCTAAAATAAAAGTTTAAGGAGCGAAATATTCCTTCTTGATTTCCATTTAGCCGGAACGCCATTTTACCCGGCTATATCTGGTGCAAGAACCTCTGGGCAACACATCTTTCGGATACCTTACTCTACCTGTGAAGCTGACCCCCCAGCAAACAGAAAAATGGATACGCGGAGAACCAGAAATTTTGGCCGAGACTGGATATACCAGATGTCTGATCATGGAACTACCTTTCAGACAAGAAATTTTCAACATATGGACAACTACCTATGTAAGTTTTGTGGAAAGACTGTGAATAATCAATTTCATTTTAGACAATGTATAGCAAAAACGTCATTTTGCTATAAGTGCAGAAATTTTGGACATTTCGCCAGAATGTGTAACTTTCACAGACAACCGGACGTGAAAGTTGTTAAGGTTAAATCGAAATCCAAGTTACGTCGTGACGCAGAAAGAATGAGAAAATTCAAAGAACAGAAAGCTATGTCAATGTTTCCTTGTGCGGAACTTAATACCATAGAACTGATGGACTTCTTTCCAACCTTAGAATATAACAAGGAATTCATAGATAACGTAAGACTCAGGCACGACCGAGTGAATTCAGAGAGAGTAAAATTTAAAATCAAAAGTGTGCACTATGAGAAGAAGTTTAAAGAGTTAAATCAAAAGCATACCAGTGTTGTTAGCAATCTAGAAAAACTTCAAAAACAAAACGCAGATGACCAAAAAGATATGGAAAAATTACGGGAACGCATTACTGATCTTGAAGAAGCTAATTTTCGGATTTACGATCAAAGATGTGAAGCAATCGACCAGCAATACCAATTACAACGCGATAAAGAACATATGCGAGATCGAATCACTAAGCTAGAAGACGAATTGGACAATTTTCGGAAAAATACAAGAGAAGATAACTATTCAAACCAAAACTATCGTTACAGAGGACGCCACAACCACAGAAGAAACTTTCGGAACCATAATTTTAGATGAACATTAAGACCCGGGTCGTGTCTTCAAGGGCCGCGGGAATATATGACCGGACAATTTGGACATAGCAATGAAATTAGTTTTTAAACAACATTTTATGAATTCAATTGTTTTAATGTATATTCTTGTTTTGCATTTATTTTATTATTCTGAACTTTGTCGTAAATTTAGGCATAAGTGTTTTACACGGATTATGTGTCATAATCTTGGACAAAGGACTTAAATTCATTTACTCTAATCATTTAATTAGTTATTCTCTTTATCAGTTCAGACAATAATTTACTTATACGTGTCGGACATTAATTACTCTTCTAATCTATTGTTATTTCTATTTGGCATATGTTAATCTTCTTAATCCTTTAATTGTTTGTGCTTATATATATTGTTATTGTTTGTAGGTTACTTTACATTTTGGTTTGGAGTTTGTTGTTCGGTCTTGCCGGACTGCTAAAATAAAAGTTTAAGGAGCGAAATATTCCTTCTTGATTTCCATTTAGCCGGAACGCCATTAAGACCCGGCTATATCATTGTAGGATTAAGAACTTGTAAAAATGATTTATTGTTTATTATTTGTACAAGACATGTGGCACCTACAATATTTTGTTTACCAACTAAGGCTGGGTTCGGTTCAATAATACCTATTTTAGATTTTATACTTTTGTCAACAGTTTGAACGGGGATAATGACTTCTGACCTACTGGGAATTACTTCGTCGTTAATTAAAGAAATAAAGCAAATACTATTTTCATTATTATCACCATTAGTAAGGGGAACTTCAGTAATACCAGACTGTAGAACAAGGGTTTTGTCATCAAAATTAAGCCTAGCTTTTTGTTGATCTAAGAAATCTAAACCAAGAATAATTGAATGTGCGAAATTTTCAAAAATATGAAAGGTTTGTTGCATGGTTAAACGACCTATTTCTATAGTGACATCAATTGTTCCTATTCCTCTTAAAGATGCTCCACTTGCTCCTGTTGCAAGAAGCGATGCCTTTTTAAGTGTAACCTTCTTATGCAAATTTTCATAATAAAAATCTGCCGAAATTGCGCTAATAGTAGCTCCAGAATCAACCATAGCCATACCAAAATGATTTGCAACCCGAATTTTAATTAAATTTGATACTTTTGTGTTATTTAAACCTGTTGCCGAAATAAATTTTGTTGGTTGCGCCAAAAAATGTTTTTGTTTTGATCTACACATTTTTGCTTTGTGGCCTATGGATTTGCATTTATTACATTTTATTCTAATAAAGCGACATTGAGATGGTATATGGTCACACTCACCGCATCTGTGGCATGGGTTACGTCTGCGTTGTCGTCTTGGCGTTCTTGTACGTTGTTGAACTTTGGCCTTGCGATCAGCATCCGAATAAAGAAGTGGTTCCACCATTGTAGGGCTGGTTGTAAGTTGTTTTATTGTATTGTTGTTAACGGCACTTATTTGTTGAAACATCATATCTATTTTAGGTTTCAGTTCTGACATAATTTTGTCTTCAGTTTCCTTCTTCTCGCATTTTTCTAAATAGTGAGAGTTTGCTTCTACTGACCGCAAGCGCACTTCTGCCTCTTCGACTGTTTCCGGCCATTTACCTAGGGACATAAGTCTAACAAGTTCTGGTTTGCATTTATATTGCAGTTTCGTCAACTTGAATTGCTGTCCAACATCTTGGTCTTCAGACAAAGCGTTAACTCGGTTAATAAATTCTGCAACAGATTCTGTTTCTTGTTGTTTTAAATCTATAAAGTCCGAAAGTTTTTGAAAGTTCTGTCCGTATGAAATTTGATACTTCTTCAGAAATTCGCATTTTAAATTTTCACGAGTGTTTGTTAAATCTTCCGGTAATCCATTAAACCATATTTGTGCGTTTTCTTCTAGAAATAGTGGAAAGGCATTACAAAATTTAGATTCATCGTAATATAACGAAACGA